AAAAAGCACAGAAAGCTTGCTAATTTGAAGGAAAATACAGTTTGGAAAGTGGTGAAGTATGAGAATGGGCATGCTGAAACCCTGATTTGGGAGCCCGTTACCCAAAAACCTGCCTAGATCCATGATTCCATCCCCACCCACTGTCCCATGAAGAGTCCTACACAGCCTCCCCCTACAAACCCATGAGGTCCTTCACTGTTAAGATGGAGCTTCTCTGGGTACCAACCACTAGGCCCATGGGCACACACACTCATTCTGGCAGCCGCCCAGTTACCACCTGCAGGCAGAGCCCTGTCCTGAACTTTGCCTGTGTCACGTGAAGAAGCCCCAAAAGGGAGGCAGAGGGCTGATGGTGGTGGTACTGGCAAGGTGCTGTAGCCCTGCATTCAGGTAATTCACTCAGAGAAGGAGCATCACCCCAGGAATAATCTGGCTACATGGATGCAGGGCTTTCTGCCTAAGTGTCCATGGAGTGAGGCTACTCTGTAATCAGGAATGCAAGACCCACAAGGCTAAGGTGTTGGGCAGAAAAGGAGCTAAGCATCTAGAGAGGAACAGTGAAAGGTCTGTTTCAGTATCCACAGCTCTTTCTGGCATGATGTTGCTTCAGAGAATGGAGCTTACAGCCCCAGTCCTGTCCACGCTCAGGCAAGGATACAGGTTCTTCTTACCCAGTCTCCTTCCCCATCCCATAACTTCTGTGTTCCTGCTTATACAGCTGCCCATATTCAGCAAGAAGGGAGATGACACTCTACTGCTCCCCTCATATCTTATCTGATTAGGCCTGCAGTGAGATCCCAGTGAGATCAGCTTGTGCTTAGAACCTACACCTCGGGTCTCCCAGCCTGTTGACAAGCTAGTTCATGAACCTTATCTGCGAAAGTGGCAAAACTGCTGTTGCTGTTGCCAGCTTGTTTGACAGAAGACTCATCTCTGCTCCATTATAATCTAGAAATGGCTTCAGAGACTACCTCTAAGGAAAAACAATGCTTTTATTTCCTACTGGTTCCCTAAACAGTCCATAATGATTGATCTGGTGTGTCTGGGCTGTATTTCCAGAGAAGCACTTACATTCCCTAGGCCATCAAAGTATATACTTAAAACTAGATGAGTAAGGGCTCCTTTTTGGTTGTTCCTGGGACATGCAATTCCGTCTAGTGACTATAATGAGGAATTCAAGTGCTTTTCCTCACAGGACAGGTCAACCTACAAAGCGTAACCTTAATATACAGGTAGAAGTTTCATTTCACAGTGAAGCACAAGTGCTACTCACTCAAGCATTAAAAAAGTTTTCTGACAGTGTAACAGAGGTATCAGTGCTTCTAGCATAGCACAACATAGACTCACTCTAGTTGAGAGAAGGAATGAAAATTTCGGAGTAAGTATGATTAATCTGAACTTTACTGTAAGTATACAGAGTGTAAGTGACCACCCGATTTTGCAGTTTTTCCCATTGAAAGTAATGTTTATGCACTGAGCTGCATAAAGGAAAATATGTGGATTAGGGAATTTCTTCAAGTGCTTTGACTATGCTAGATGCATTAATTTTTCATTACCTCATTTATGTAAAAAACCCAACAAAACCCCACCAAAAAAACTAACAAAAAAAGCCCAATAAAAAACATAAAGTAAAACTAAAATGTGAAATGAGGACATTGCAAATCCAGCAAAGAGAAGATCAAGTATTTTCTGCTGGCAGTGCTCTTAATTATTACCAGTTACTTCCTATCTATTATCATCATCATTATTCTTTATCCTGTTCTTTAAAAATGATCCAGATTACCTCTGCAAATGTGTGGGGTTTTTTGTTTGACGGATGCTAGATTCACTTTCAGCTGAAAGCAATTGAAGTTTAGACACAAGAAATATCCTTTAAATAGCCTTTAAAGGAATATCCTTTAAAGCCTGTGCTCTTCAGTTAACAATTTGATCCTGGAGATGAACTGCAAGTAGAGACTTGGGCCTTAACATTCTTACTAACTAATGGGAATGCTAACAAGTAAAGAAGTGTACTCTGCCACTGCAATGCTTATTTTCTTTTTGAACTGGTGACAAATGAGAAGGACTGCTTTGAATTAGTCTTACAAACGTCACCAATACAACAGAACACTGCAAACATTCGTCTTTGAACAGTGGAGAGTCAAAGCAAACTAAGGCGAAAATGGTGTCCAGCAGAGCAATTCAGATCAGGAAAGCCATCCAACTCCAAAGCAGCTTGACCTGAGCACAGCCCCAGAGGCTGTGCCACAGCTGCCAGCTAGCCAGTAGCCAAGAAGTTAGCAGAGGTGCAAGCCAAGAAGCCAGCCATGAACCCACGTGCCAATGCAGGAAAGCTGTATTCCAGAATTTGGCATCTGGGCCCTCCAGCTGCCAAACATCTCCCATCTGGCTGAGCCTGTGGACGAGGTGTTAAAAAAGAAGATCAGGGAAGATTATACAAGAGCAAAAGCAGTACCCTTTGCAAGACAGCAAAGATGAAGAGGCACATTGTGCCCCCAACATGTGAAACTCACACACATTATCACTTTGTTCCCAGTGGATCAGAGAAGGCAGTCTGGACAAAATGCTCCATGTTTCAGAGGAAATGAACAGTTAGATGTGCATGAACTGAAGCAACCATTCCAGCCTCTGGCAATCCACGAGGTCAGCAGATGCAGATTTGTGTAGAATTGGTTTGGAGTAAAACTTACAACTTTTAGTAGATTTGATGAACCAAATAAGAAAAAAACAGTAAAAAAAACCCACAAAAAATGTTTCTTCAAGTCTTTGTGATCCCCTCTGTTCCTCCATCATCACAAAGAAATTTAAGTATCAAAGAATGTTTCTGCACTTTCCTAACTGGAATACCATAATTCTCAGTGTATTTTATGGAAGGGTAACTTTTTTGCAATTTAGTGGAAAAGATAAGTTTAGTAATACAAAGTTGAAAAATACCCAAACCTGGGTAGGCACGAAATTTAATTCAAATGAAATATATCCACTCATACAGCTGCATTTAACTGCAGAATACACTTCTAAGAAGCATTTACTGTTCCCAAACTCCAGCAGCGCCATACCGCAAAAAGAGGGACCAGCTGTGGGGAAGACTCCCAGCACGGTCAGCAGTTTTAAATGCATCATAAGAATTTGTATTTTTAAATAATGCACTGACTTTAATGTTAATCTAATTGATCTTACTTCCACCTTTCAATCTACAGCCAGGTCCACATGGCCCAAATGAGGTTTGACAGATGAGTCTTCTTGATCAACTGGGTTCTTTATTTTAAAAACACATAAAAAAAACCCCACAGCTCTTTTTCAAATTTCTGTTTTTATTAGAACCTATTTGTCTTGCCAAATATTATCTTTCAGTCCCATCTCACTCCAGTCAGAGCACACTAACTTTCAGCAGTTTAGAACTGCTGCATGGGATGACTTAGCCATCTACATCTAACCATGCATGTTTTTCAGGGGGCCTCATTAGTAGGATCTAATAGTCATTACTATGGTATGTAAATACCAAGTAAATTCATTATTGATTTTTAAAGCAAAATACTGACAACCTCAACAAAGAGCAAAAAATGAACAACACAAGTGTCCTTGAAAATGCTTCCTGTAGAATAGAAGCCAGTACACAAAATGTTCCATAGTTAATTTAATACAAGCTAAAGAAGCCTGCATTAAAAACTGTATCTGAAATATAAATGTATTTTAGAAACACAACATTTTGAGAGACTAGGAGGCTTTTCAGAATAATTTCTGACATTGCACTGATAATACAATCAGATCAAAGAAAGTCTAAGGATTTTTAAAAATAAATGTATCATTTCAATTTCATAGTTAAGGAAAACTTAAAATACTTGGATCAGCTCTAACAGAGATATTACTCCAGCTGCTACTTTGAAAATGTTTGAGTAATACGATCCTGCAAATTTTTAATAAAAATATACCAGTTGTAGTGTAATTAACTGCAAATTGGAGATAGGAGTAGTCTTGAGGAATGACTTCTGTATTTGACTACTCATTAGCAATTTGAAAGTGTAATTACTCTTAAACATGCCTTCTTCCTAATTTTATTACAAAGCTTAGCTGTACTTATAAATGTGAAGAATTTGATTTATTCTGGAACATACTTGCTTATATTGAATGTGTGCAGTTGTTCTTTCTTCTGTACTCCACAGACAGAGGCCACTAAGAGCAGATAAAGCACTGAGCTGATGAGTTTACACTTGTCCCATAATAAACACGACTCCAAAGGAACCTTCTGAGGGGCGCACAAAACAAACAAAAGAAGGGAGGAGGACAGGCAAGCAAGCAAGCACACTGAGAGTGGACATGTCACTGCATACTATTTTAAAATCCACTAAAGCAACAGCCACGAATCCCACAAAAACAGGAACCCTACCAGCTTTGGTACATCCTTTTGCCATTTGACATCGTTTCTACCTGGGCAAGTGGGGTGAACTCCAGGGCTCTTATGGTATTACAACACCTGCTGAAGCCTCCCAGTCACCCCCCGCCACTGAACTGGCATGTAAACCCTATGCCATCTACAAGGCACATTACACAGTAAGATTTTAATATTTTGCCCTCCTTGAAATAAAAGCAAGGAGATGTTTGCAAAGAGCTCTTCCTACATTTTGCAGCTTTGCTTCACGGTAACTGGCAATGATCCATTGTTACATGAGCTATACTGATGCACATTAACTTTGTTACTCAATTTCAGTAGACTACTTTGAACACTTTAAACTGTATTATTAAACATCAGACAAGGTATATTCTATTCTCATATTTTAAACACTGGGATTTATTAAAAAAAAAAACCCAAACCTGCAGCTTTCCCACCACCCCCTGAGCCCCAAGATAAAAAAAAGCAATTGCAAAAATCAACTTCAGATCTTGCCTACCCCCACATAACCCCCAGTCATGACATAAAGAGGGAGAGAAACCTGAAAAGTACTGCTTCTAGACTTTATCAATAAAACAGAATATTATATAATACACAATAAAATGCTTCATACCTGGAGTTGAAAAAACGAAAAGGGTTAACAGCTGACCTGGCACAGCCCCACATGCTCTCTCTGGAAATTGAACACAGACAATTAGGAATTTTAAGTTACCCCAAATAATCAAAGGGGACTTAGACAAGCTTGAGGAACACTTACTGCTAAGTAAGTAAGGCACATAGCCTCAGTGTGGAAGGCACTTTAGGATTTTCCCATTCACTCAAAACTCTTCTCAAACTGAATTTGCTCTGTAGATGCCCCATCTAATGATAAGTAAGTCATTAGGAGCGCTGTGATTAATTTTCATGGCAGCAAAGTTAAAGCTTAAGGGCCCACATGTCACTCAGTGGTAATTCTGGATCATGATAGATCATGTTTTCTTATTTAAAAAATAATCAGCAACAAAGAGGTAAACTCTAATGAGAATCTACAGCAGGCAGGCATTGCATGAAGAGGAAATTATGGCTGCAGTGAATGTCTGCTCCCAGAATTCTACTGCATCAGTAATATTATTCCCACACAAAACCAAAAAACTTAGGCTTTAACATTTTTACTTAGAACTGGGACTCTAGGGAAAATATACAATCTTCTAAAATACAATTTTGAATAATGAACAACACCAATATACAGTGCCATAGCTGTACAAACTCCTATGCTGGTTGAGATTTGGACTATATAATATGTTCCTTTTCACTGACAAATTCTGATCTACTGCATGTGCTCAAACAAGAAGCTTCATACAGAAACAAGAAGCTTCATACAGATGTTTTTTGGAAAAAGTTCCACCAAGTTAGGGAAAAAAAAAAGAAAAACCTGCAGAAAGCCAAGAACATGAATAAGCCCCTTTAGTCCTTCTCTTTGTAGTTCAGACCTCAAATGTACTGCGAAAGTAGTTTGAGGCCAATGCTTAAGAAACTAGCAAAAATATTAGAATAACAATATGAATAATAAAAAAGCTCTATCACATTAGAAGTTGAATGTATTTGCACTGAAAATGTTTTGGATCTTTTATAATGCTCAATTAAAATATCCAGGTTGGCATAGGAACTGTAGAAAGTAAAAAGGAAACTTTCATAACAACTTTGCTTCATTTATATAATTGCATTTTCCACTGGCCCTTGGAAACCTACAAACAATCCATTTACTCTCAAAATTTTGCACTGAATGCTTTGAACCTGTCACATTTCCCTGCCTCAAGTGTATAGCAAATATTGGCTCTTTACTGTTTTTGCCAGTTTTTAGATGCTAAATTTCTGATAATGACAGAAATATGGTATGCAGATGACAAAATGATGTACAGAATTTTTGAAGTATAAGTTATTAGTTCTATCACTGCCTAACACAGTTTTGGATTCTTCCACACTCTTTTCCCACTCTCCAAGTAGAGTCATTTCCTTCTCAGAAATATTTATCAGGTATTTGTCCTACAGTACCAAATAGGTACAGATTTTATTTTACAACTGTGTCAGTACCTAATCAAAGAACACTGTGACAAAATCTCCCCTGCCTCATCAGCCCTCAACTGAAAGCAATATGCACTGGAAAAATGGTTATTGGAAACCATTAACACCAATGGTTCTCTTCCATGCCAATTAATCTGCAACCATCTCTGTGTCTCATTGGAAAATCATTTATTCACACAGGTGATATAAACATTAATACATTACCTGGAAGTCGTAACTCTAAATTTTGGACACCCATTTTCATAAAGTTCCCTTTTTAACAACTAAGCAACAGGGCAGACCAAAATACAGTTATTGAGGTTAAGTATTTGCATGTTGAATTTTTGACAGTGGGAAATTTGGCTGACAACTAAAACTCTGTTTAGAACCTACAGTATCCAGATACTGAAGCAAAAGACACTCAGGCACCATCGAACCAATCTTACTGACTCCTGAAAGTTACTATGCTCCTTTCTGTTTGGTGTGACAGCCAAAGGGCTGTGGCCTCCCACCCAGCCTCTTCTCCAAACCAGAAACCTAAAAATGGAGAGAAAAACCTAATCCTTGCCTCTGGAACTTGAAGCTTATCTGTGCTATGAAAATGGCTGAAACACATTTCAGACCATGTAATCAGCATAAAAAAGATCTGTAACAGTCACTTCCCAATCCAAAATGCAAGTGTAGAATAAAGAAGAGAAAAGGACCATTCCTGGGTATCTTTTGCACACAAATGTAGATATCTGGCTTCCTGAGTTAGTGCTCTAACATCAGGCTTTTCTGCCATAGGTGGGTGGCTGTACCACTGCTGGCTGTCACATTTTTACACTGAGAGATGGCCAATGGGAAGAGGACATCTGGGTGTTACAACAGGCAGAAATAGGTAAGCTTAGAACTTGATATCCTCATTTCCACAATGGAAAGTTGGGAACGTGAGCTGGTCTTTTTTTTTTCCAAACCACTTTAATGAATTACTACATTTCAGAAGCCCAGGCTCCAAAGAGAGCAGAGACAACTCACAGCCAAGTACCCACCCAGGATGTAAGTGGAGACATCTCTAGGAAAATGATTGCTCTGCCCTGTTCTACCTTGTACTTCAAAGCCTTTAACTCTTTGTTGACTATAGCGGGCATGCTAATGCCTTGTGCAGGTGCACTGTCACACTGCTGAGCCAATCACCTATCTCAGAACCTCACAACACCTCCATAAGACCTCCCCCAAAGCTAAAAATCTTCATCTTGCCTCAAGTGCCTGCGCTGTTGTGGCTTGTCTTGGTCCTGGGTATCTGCAGTACCTCATGCATGCGGCAAGCGTTTGGGGATAGTGCAACCTCTAAGACCTGCAATGTATTGACAAGGATGTACCTGTTACAGAATTGCATGTATTTTTAGTTCCTCTCAAGCAAAAAGAGAACCACTTTCTGTTATCCTGACTATACTTTAGGAATGGCAGAAGATCTCAGAAATTATGTGGTGATACAGACAGCAAGCAGTTCTGAAGTGAAAAAATTGAGTGCAAAAGGAATCAACCTGTTCAACTTGGTAAATAATTTTCAGCAAACAATTTATTATACAACATTACCCTATTATTGTGCTTTTGAAATTTTTATGACTGAGATTTTGGTCATTATTATAGTTCTTCCTGTGAACTTATTTATCAATGGTTTGACTCTTTGGCCTTGACAAGCAACTGATTACAGTGCTCATCAGTTCTAAAGAGAAACACCACGGTGACTTACATGTCTATCTGACAGCATTGTGTGTTCCTGATTTATCATGTGTTATCCCAGCACTATGCTAAATATCGTACTTTTCATGCAAATAACTGAGGGACATATTTTGACAAGACTGGGACTGCTGACTTTTAATGAGTACATAAACCAAGTATTTCTTTCACTGTCTGATGTCAGCTTCTGGTGGTTTTCAGGTTAATTTATTTTCCAGGCTCTGTTTGCAATGCTGGGCTTTTCAGCCAGCAGCAGATCCTGTATACAGGCCTTAAAGTGAGCACTTCTAGGGCAGCCTCTGGCCTCAGTGCCTGCCAGCCTGCTCCATGCACCCTGAGCTAGCAACACAGGCTAGACAAGAGAGCTCTGGCAGTTGCTGCCTCCTCTGATCCACCCTGGTCTCTTCCTTATTTTCTGCCTGCCTCAGCTTTCATATTTTCTTACACTGCTTTATCCTCTGGCAACTCAGTATATTTCACAAGGATAAATAAAGAAAAATATGACCCAGAATTTCATGCTTGGCACATCTTTTGTCACTGCTCTAATGATGGAGATGCAGGATTTGACTCTGAAACCTGTGACTGTCATTACTCCAGGATTAGATGCTATAATATCAGCCACTATGCTGCTTTACTCCTTATTTTAGCCTTCAATTCCTTTATTTTGACTAGAGGAATTTCTTATGTGTGGTGGCTGTAAGGCCCAAGTATCCTTTCTGCAATGTATTCAGAATAGTAATGCTCATGTTCTAAGTCACATACACACGGACAGTGACACCTCCTTGGCACACAGGCACAATGCAAAAAAGACCCTCTTCATATCCATCACCCAATACCACCCATTTATTCCTCCTTTATCTCCAGCGTCAAAAGAACTTGCTGTGAGAAATGAGGTTGTGGTGAAATCACAAGGGGGATTTAACTAAAAGACAGGGAAATATACCAAAATCTTTTCCCATTATGCAGGAGAAAGGAAGATGGCAGGAAAAAAAAAAAAAAAAAAGTAGGATTTTTTTTTTTATTATTTCCTGTATTTACATGCTCATTCAATTATGCCTTGCCAAACAGTATTCCCCTCTTAATAGTTCCCTCCTTTACATGCAGTTTACATACGTGCAACCTACACAACTTTTGTGGTTTTGCATGCATTGACCTAAACACCCAAGCGATATTTCCATAAATCAGTATAAGCACTGCTATTAAGATTTAATTGTGCTGCATGTACGTCTGTCAAAATCACAGGAACTGCCTTATGGAAAAGGAAAGATAAAAACTTATCTGATCTAGATAATGAAACAAGAAGTAATTTTGGCTCAAGTGACAGCAGAGGACAATGCTCTTTCTTTTTCTTATCAGTAAGTCAAAGTAGCAGTTCACTGAGGAGGTATTATTGTGGCTTTTCCTGGCAGTGTTCTGCTATCCAATCCACACCTATGAGTATTTGTTAGAGCTCTAAATTTCTTAAGGCACATGGCTCTGCCCCTACTTTCTGTGCTGATTTAGAGACAAAACATGAAAAGCTGAATAATGAATCACTGGAGAAAGAGATGCCAAACAGGTGTACAAACTTCTAACTGGGTAGTAGTAATTCATAATGTTATTTATAATTCATTCTTGGGTGTGGTGCTCTTCAAGCAATTAAAAGAATGCCTGCCTCACTATCCATAAAATGCATTTCACATATCTAACAACTAATGACTTGAGCTTCACTCTGGAGCAACACATTTTAGTGGATTAAGCATGGGAGTAAGAGGAAGATGGACCTGATCCCAACTCATTCTCTGCTTTGCTGCATGGCCTTGAGCAAGTCACTAACCTGTAGATAATTGTAATATTTGAACACACATGGGATCTGTACAATTTAATTAGTTAATGTTTGCAAAGCACTCCAAAGATAAAAAATGCCGCATC